ATAATATAAGCACAATATCTCAGTATAAATGTAAATACATGAAAGAGTACATACCGGCCACGACATCAGGCGCCGTGCGGATCTCCTCCGCAGTCAACTGGAAAGCTCTCCCACGAGCCTTCAGAGCCTCGGCCTTCAGTGGCCAAACCTCGGGAACCCTGACAGCAGGCGTAGATCCCTGGCGAAGCTGGGGGCACTCGGCCTTCCGATGGCCAGTCTGGTTGCAATGAAAGCAAACCATGAATCCCTTGGGGCAATCTCTAGCAATGTGCCCCTCCTTGCCACACTTGTAGCAAGCACCCGATCGACATGCCCCCTCGTGACCCTTGCCGCACTTTCCGCAAGTGCGGCTCTTCTGACCTCCGGATCTTGAATCGACGGACTTGATCCGCTTGGCTGCCGGCTGAGACTGAGCCGACCGCCGATCCACCCGTTGAGACCCGGCCTCCTCCCTGGCCTGGGTCTCCAACTCGATCTCACGCTTCCTGGCATTCGCCTGAAGCTCAGTAAAAGTCTGATATGACGAGTTCGATACGAACTCCCGGATATCCCTCCTCAGCACTCCCAAATACCGACTCATCCGAGCCTGCTCCGTGGACACCTGCTCGGGGCAGAACATCGCCCTCTCATGAAACTTCCGCGTGATCACCGTAACAGAATCATTACCCTGCTTGAGGGTCAAGAACTCCTGAACCAACCGTTCCCTCTCCACCGGGGGAACATACTCGTCTCTGAACATATCAGTAAACCTCTCCCAAGTCACAGCTGAGACCTCTGCCAGAGTGAAGTTCGCCGTCACGAACTTCCACCAATCCTTTGCTCCCAGGCGGAGCTGGTTCAAGGCGAACCGTACCCTCAGATGCTCCGGACATGAACAAGTATAGAAGCATCCCTCGATATCAGCAATCCATCTCATCGCAGCAATCGGATCCTGCGTCCCGTCAAACTCTGGTGGCTTCGTGTTGCTGAACTCCCGGAACAGCAACGAGTCACCCCTGTGGTCTGGCAGCGGCGGCAGCCTCAGTCAACGCGGCGTACCGCTCATCAAATGTCTCCATCAGCGTGGTCTTAATAGACCCAAACATCTCCGGAATCTCGGCCCGGATCGCTGCAGCTACCTCCTCATGAATCATCTGACGAAGCTCCTCGTCAGTCACACCACTCGTACCAGGTCTGTGTCGTGGTCCAACCATGATGTCTCTGAAATACAACATAAAAATATCAGAGACTCTATCGGGCATAATCGCACTCGATAACGCAGTCCTACTCAGTCTCCGATACCCAGGGATTCTTACTTGGGCTGCCCACTGACCCGGTGTCCTTGGTAGTACGGGCCCAATACTACCAATTACACCGCGTCGGTATTCACCCCAAGTCCTCCTCCCCAAACCCCGAATCCTGAGTACTCTATTCTTGTCATACACTAGTTACCCACTCGCTCTCAAGCACCTCATAGAAGCAGGTTTCCCTAGACTAAGGCATCACAAAATCAGGCCACTCTAGTCCTAATATGTATACCTAGTCTACTAGCATGCGTATCATATCATATCATATCTCATAACACATATTGTAAGAGTATTTTGGGGATTTTACCGTTCGGGCGCTGGCTGACCGTACACACTCTTTCTTCTTTGGTTGTCTCAAAATCACTTATCAAATTTTTATTGATTTATTAATTAAAATTTTCTCAAATCCCCGGTTTGAGTTCAGTTACGCCCGAAGGTGTACCCGAATCCCTCAAACCAAGGCTCTGATACCAACTTGTAACGTCATAAATTCGAAACCAAAAATTTTTCATTTTTACAATCATCAAAACATCGAGTAATAATTTAGGTTCCAATGTAACAATTTAGTCACGACCGATTACATAACAAAAGATCACAAAATGGTTTCCCCGAGTGTGTGTACGATCACGCCGGCGCCTTCCCACGGTCCTCGCTAGTACCTGAAACACATAACACAACAACTGTAAGCATAAATGCTTAGTGAGTTCCCCAAAATACAACCTACGCACGTACGCCTTTCCAGGCCTTGACCTTCCGGTCCATGTGTCTCAGGGGACTTCCGTCCCGACTGGGTAAACCTTCCGGTCCTACCCACGTCAACCTTACGGTCCATATGACCACGCCTTCCGGCCCATAACATGTTGCCTTCCGGCCCAAATCAAGCATATCATACATGGCACATATAACGAATAACTTATCACACATAAGGCATATATCTCATATCATATTCGACCTTCCGGTCACACAGTCAAACCCTTCCGGGTACAGTATAGTGAGAAGACTCACCTCGTATGTCTCGCTAATTCGTGAACCCTGGAATCACTCGTGCTCGAACCCCGAGCTGTAATCCTCCTATGACATCATGAATCTATAATTATTACTTGTACCACTAAGGTTGACCATCCTTATCAAGTCAACACAGGTTGACTTGGTCAACAGTCTTTGGTCCATTTGACCGGACTCGGCGAGTGCACTATAGTGACTCGGCGAGTCTACGCGTTTTAACCAACTCGCAAGGATTTTCCCTTTGACTCGTCGAGTACTCCCCTGACTCGACGAGTTCCACCTGGGCCTGAATCACGGGGCCACCGCGACTCAACTCGCCGAGTCGCAAGGACAACTCGGCGAGTCCCAACTTGACTCGGTCCACCTGTCAAAACCTTTCTAACTCTCTGACTCACTGAGTCACCCACAACTCGGCAGGACTACACACTGGGTGGTCTCAAGGACAATCTTCAAGCGACTCGTCGAGTCTGTTCTTCAGACTCGGCGAGTCCATGCCATGCATCAGCTAAAACTGGCTTTTGCGGTCAGATCCGTTCCATACACACATAGATCTGGCCTTCCCAAGCTCATTTATCACGTAAAGTCTCAGTCTTGGTCGCCATGCAACGCATACAAGGCTCATTTTGGAGAAATAACCTCTAATATGGCAACCCTAGCTTCCAACTCAAAAGAATGGACATAAAGCTTGTCATATGGGGCCTCCTGGACCTGCTAAGGTCCAGATCTAGGTTCCATATCTCCATGGGACCTTTCATACTTCCAATTTAAGCCAAATAAGGCAAGAAGAAACCCTAGATTTGACACATCAACCCAAAATACGAAGTTTAGCTCTGAAAGTTACCTCAAGAAGGTTCCCTTGATGAAATAGAAGCAGATCCAAGCTCCCCAACTCTTCAAGCTTGATCTTCTCCCTCCTTTCTTGCAATAATACACAAAATGATGAACAAATGGCCTCTTATCACACTCACAAGGTCTCTCAGTCGTATGGGTGCACTTAGGGTTCAAGGTGGCCGCAAATGAAGGCCATAAGGTCCTTTAAATAGGGCTTAGGACCGGGAAATTAGGGTTTCATTAAACAGCGCGGACTCGCCGAGTCCATCCCTTGGACTCGCCGAGTCCGGACGCGAACCTCCGTCCAAAACCGCGACCCGACTCGGCGAGTTCGACCTCCAACTCGCCGAGTCCCCTCACAGAATATCAAAAATATGAAAGTAAAGATACCTAGGGATCTGGGCTGTTACACACATGTTCTAATCAAACTCAACTCGACGAGTTAGGCTCACAACTCGTCGAGTCACACATGAAGTCTCAATAATAATATAATAATAAAGAA